TATATGTGACACCCACTAATTTGCTTTCCTTGTTCTTTTCCACTTCGACAAACAGAAATTGGATATCGTTACTATTATACTTTAAGTCATTGCGAATCTTAAAATTATAATTATTTCTGACATAAAGAGCAACTCCTCCGCCACCATCTTCGTTTGGCCGAKTTAAGACTATTGGGCCTTGGTAGTCCGCTATTGCAAAGGAAGGTAGATCATCTTTATCTTTAAGCCATGTCTCGGTCAAAGCAATTGCGTCAAAGTGACGCTTTTTAAAAAGCGGTAAGATAACAAACCAGATTGTCGAAATTCTTTCGTAAACTTCTTATGTTAAAATGAATGAGTGAAAAACCAATTGGTTTGTCTAAAAGATTTTCGAAACTATCTTCGACATAGTATCGACAATTGCTTAACATATCATTGACATTTGYAAACACGTTTTCGTCCGGGTCACAGAAGTTATCTACAAAATTTGCTTTGGACCTGGCGAATGTGTTTTGAAAAGGTTGGAATGAAAGCCCATTGAGCCGATCAAAGTTGTGAAACGGGCTCCAGCCGTATTGTAATTTAAGCAAGGCTGAATGGAACTCGTCGTCATCTAATGATGCAAACGGCAAGGCGTCACTTATGCAATGAGAGCATATGTGTGATTTTGATAAATGAGATAGGTCGTTAACATCGGTACAATCAGGTGCCTTGTTAAGACACTTCAGGTGACAACGTTTAGAGCAAACTGAACAATTAACTGTTCTAGAATTTGAATTTAGGCGTTTTAGGCATACTGTGCATACATTATTTTTTTGTTTACGCATAAAAATTCAGGAATGAATATATTGAAGAAAAGTTAGATATATAACTATATAATATTCACTTATCTTTACAAAAGAAATGTTCAGTTTGTTGAGACATGTCGGTACATCAGGCAAATCGTGCAAATTTCAGGTTTGATCTTGGGATGATTTCGGTGAATTTGATCCTGCGTTGATCCTGCTTCCATTTTGTATTGCGTCTCTGTAAGATCCAAAGCTTGCAGTAGCGCCAAGAGAGCCAAAAGGTTGCTCTGAATTAAAGGCCATTGGTCTTGGTTTTATGACCAATCGATCCATACTGAAATATACGATCTTCCCTTCTTTGCGTGCTTGTTGCAGCTTCTCCTGTTGATCCTGTCTTCTTTTGACAACTCTCGAGGAAAGATCTTCGTTGATGTAAATACCTGTTCCTTTAAGTTTCTTGCTAGATTGAAGAACAGCTTCTTTATCTTTGTATCGGAGGAACTTAGCGACGATTTGTCTTGGCTTCTCGCTGCGTCTACCGGTTCTATGAGCTCTTTCTATTTYAAAGCCGTCTTCGGGATAGATCTGCAGCTTCTCATTCAAGAGATCTTTAACCTTCTGTTCCGTTGTTGCYCAGCTTTCGTTTTTGTCCTCTTTCAACCCACTGATCCTCACGTTGCTTCGCCTGCTCTGATTTTCAAGATAATCTATCTTGTTGTCAAAATCGTTGATACTGCCCTTTAAAGAATCAATCTCCAAGCCTAAGGCGTCAATTCTGTTAAGTTTGCTCTTCGTCACGTCGATGTCTTTCTGTGAGAATTGCAAACTATCCTTGATTCCTTGTATTTCGCGGTTTAAATTATCATGTCGGCTGTTGAAATTATCAATTAGGAGGTTCACAAAAGATTTAAAGCTGTTTTCCTGTACTTTAAGAAGTTCTTTAACTATATTAATACTTATTTGATCGGAGCTCAAGTTATCGACGTCCGCCATCTTACATGTCACATTCTATACAACATTAAATAGTGACATTTATTGTCCTATAAACCTCTTTTCACTTGGACGACGTTTTTGGGATCGACTGTATGTGTATTACTATTTGGACGTGCAAATGTAGGAGTCACTTTCAATATCTAATAAAGCTTAAGTTCGTGACATTGACCGGTGCGTTTCCGCGAATTCAGAACGAGAAAATCCATGTCACTAAAGTTGAGGTGACTGTTTTCTACTGCAGTGTTTTCTCTCATTATTTATTATTACTTAAGTAGTTGGGAATCGATAATAATAATAATAATAATAATAATAATAATAATAATAATAATAA